TGCGACACGTCCCAGTCGCCGATGTCCGCGTTGAAGGCGGTGGAAGTGTCGAACGTCTGCCGCATGCTCGTCACCGACGACACGTCCCAGTCGCCGATGTCCGCGTCGAAGGCGGCGGCGGAGTTGAACGCGTAGTTCATGTTCGACACCTTCGACACGTCCCAGCCGCCGATGTCCGAGTTGAAGGTGGAGGCTTCGTAGAACGTGCGCTGCATGCTCGTCACCGACGACGTGTCCCAGGCGCCGATGGCCTCGTCGTTGAATGTCTCGTCCGTACGCAGCACGCAATATTCATAGGAGTCAGTCCAATCCATCCAGTCCTGCCGCACGCAGAACAGGAACGACATGTCCGTCACCTTCGACGTGTCCCACTCGCCGATGGGGCCGTACTGGAGCTCGGCGTCGTCGGAGCTCGTGACCCAGTCGACGACCGCTTTCCTGAGCTCGTCGTCGTTGTCCGGCGCGAAGACCGTCTTCGACAGCCGGCGCGCGTCTGCCGGGTCCTCCTCGTCCGCGAAGGAGCGCCCCGGCGGCCGGAGCGCGTGCTCGCCCGGGACGACCCGCGAGGAGCCGGGAGCGGCGCCGGAAGCCAGATCGAAGATCTCTTGGGTGCCGTCGGACGCGAACTGGGACTTGAGCTCGTAGCGGGTCTCTTGGATGGGGTCCTTCTCGTCCGCGAAGGAGCGCTCCGGCAGCCGGAGCGCGTGCGAGGAGCCGGGATCGATGCCGGAAGCGAACATCTCTTGGGGGGTGCCGTCGGACGCGAACTGGGACTTGAGCTCGTAGGGCGACTCTTGGGGCTCTTGGGCGAGGATCGCGCGGGAGGGCGCTTGGGCGAGGACCGCGGCCGGAGCGAGGGCGAGGGCGAGGGCGAGCTTGTGCGTCATCGTCGGGTTACTTGCTGTCGAAGCGGATCGCTAGGCCTGCGGGGAGAGCCGGGTTTCATCTCTCGTGGGCTCGCTCCTTCCCGCGGTCCCCGAGAGAGCGAGTCGACGCGCGGCGAGGCCAGCCGCACCTCGAGGCGCGCGCACGGCGGCGCGGCGCCGACGGCGGCGCGGGCCCGACGCCCGACCCGACGACGCCTCGTCGGCTCGGCCGCGGACCGCCGCGCGGGCCGCGAGCGGTCCGCGCCGCCGGCGACGGGTCGCGGGCGACGGGGCATCGCGGCCCCGTCGCCGGGCACGGCCGCGCGGTCGTGCCCGGCGCCGCCGAAGACGGCCCGACCCGCGCCCGACCCGATCGCGGAGGACGAGCGGGAGCGCGCGGGCCGGCCGAAGCCGTCCCCGTCGGCGACGTGTTCCGGGGTGGACCGGTCCCGCCGGCGCCCGCGACGACGGGGGGGGGCGAGGCCGGCCGAAGGCGCGGCGCGAAGGCGGGGCCCGCCCGGCGGCGCGCCGATGGGTATCGACGGACCGCCGCGAGCCCGGGCCCAGGGGGTCCCGGTGACGGCGGTCGAGGCCATCGGCGGGGCCTCCCGCGTCTCCCCGAGGGTGCCGGGCGAGGCCCCGGGCGCCGGCGCGGCGCGCGACCCGCTCTCGCGCCCGGCTCGACCGTTTTGTCGAGTCTCGACATCTACGGCGTCCCCCGACGCCCAGTTTTTGGCCGCCGGGTGGCTCGGGGGTGGCCCGGAGGGCCGCAGGGAAGTTTCAAGTGAGAAGGGGTGATGCGGCGCGGCGCGCGCGTGATTCTGAGCTTGAAGTGCTGAAGTTTATCAGCGCTAATATTTTTGCGCCCAAAACTAAGTGTCGCCGCGCGCGCCGACCGACGCCTCGACACGCGGCCCTCGCGCGCGCGTAGAGTCCGGGGCTCACGTTGGCCCGCGCATGCGATCGATCAGAGCCCCGGCGGCTCGTTGGGCTCCGCGCGCGGAGCCCGCGCCGACCTCGCGCGAATCCACCTCCCCCCCCGTAGACGACGCGGAGAGACCCCTAAGAGACTCACGCGCGCGTGGGTATGGTCGTCGCGCCGCCGGCGGTGAAGACCGACGGGTGGGCCGTGCCGGAGACGGAGTGGCCCGCCTCCGCGAGCGGCGACAGGGTACGCCGAGGAGTCCGGGCGAGTCTCGGGAGCCCCGGCCCAGGCGGCCGGACAAGCGCGAAGCCGCTTCGTACCAGCGCGCTTACGCCGCCCCCGCCCCTAGCCTGCTCGCAGGTAGGCCGTGTCGCCGAGTTTCCTCGGGCTCACGTGGGCCTTGGCGAGGAAAAAGAGCGCGCAGAGGCACGCGGCGACGCCGAAGTACGTGAAGGCCATCCAGAGGGCCTTGACGTTCGCGCCGAGGGGCGACACGGTGGAGACGACGAGGTACTTCTTGCCGTTGAAGCTCTTGACGTTGAAGTTGTTCGTCACGGTGAAGGTGAGCGTCCAGCCGTCGTGGAGCGTGTCCGTGATGCGGCCGTAGAGCTTCTTGAACTCCGCGAGGCCCGCGAGGCGCATCCAGACGACGAAGTGCTCGTTCTTGACGCCGACGATGGGGCTCACGATGTCCGGGAAGGTCTCGTAGAGGAACTGGAACTCGTCGTGGTCGCGGTAGTAGTACAATACGCTCTGGCCCTTGTCGCAGTGGCCGCTGTCGAAGTCGCCGCCCTCGCAGACGTAGCCCATGCAGCCCTCGGGGAGGCCGCTCTCCGTGCAGACGACGGCGGGGCAGACGGACTTGTAGCACCCGGCCACGTCGGCGTCCGTCGTCGTCCACTCGAAGCCGTCGGGCTGCTTGAACTTGTCGTTCAGGTCCGACTTCCACGCGAGGTGGTTCTCGCGCATGGAGATGCCGTGCGCGAGCTCCGTGGCGTCGCTGAGGGAAATGACGTCGTTGAAGAGCGAGTTCGCGATGACGCCGCAGGGGTTCAGCGTCTTGGAGCCGTTGGACTTGAGCGGCGAGCACGTGCTCAAATCGTCCTTCTTGAGGTTCTCGCCGGTGAGCTGGTCGCTGTCGAGGGACGCGAGGTAGCGCTGGTGGTTCTGGTAGAAGTTCTCGAGCTCGTAGTAGACGTAGACGGGCGACTCCATCTTGTCCTTGATCGCGATCGAGATCTCGCACTCGGTGCCCGCGTTCGCCTCCTTGATCTTGCACGCCGCGTTGCGGTCCGGCGTGCCGTCGCCGTCGTACTGCTCCTTCTGCTGGAAGATCTGGTCCGCCTGCACGGACCGGATGCTCAACCCGATGGTGATGGACACGGCGCCCATGGCGAAGAGCGCCGCCATGATGTTTTTCGGCGTGAGCAGCGGGTTAAAGGACGGGACCTTCTGCTGCGTCCACGGCGACGGGTCCGGCCGGCGGCTCGCCGGGGGCTCCATGCCTCGGCGGCGGCGCGACCGGCCGCGTGTGCGGGTGCGGCGCGGCGGTGGGCTGTGTGTGGGCTTTGGCTGGTGCGACGCCACCCGCCTCGCAGCCTCGAGTTTTCCAGGAGTCGATGATGAAGTGGCTTGAAGCCGCCGAACGGGCCGCGCGCGCGCTTCGCGCCGTGCCCGCGAGCGCCAGACGGAGCCCAGCCGCAAGCCGGTTACGGCGCGCACGCCGGCGACCTCGCGGGGGTCGGGCTTCTGAATTTCGCCGCCATGTTCACGCCATAGCGGAACATCTGGAGGCCCCGACGCCGGGGGTGGCCCGCGCACTTTCCGCCTCGGCGCCGAGCGGTCCGAGTCTGGTGTTAAGCAAAATCAAATTTATCGGTGCACGATGAGCGCTCCACCCAGCGCGGCCTTCTGGGTGTCGCACGTCGCGTACAACACGACGCAGTGGGCGTCGATCTGGGGCATGGACGAGGTCTTCTGCGACGCGCTGCTCGAGCACCTCACGCCGGAGGCCAAGGCGCACCTGCGGTTCCTCGTGGGCCGCATGGACGACGACGACGACGACGACGACGCGCTCTTCGGCACGGCGCGGTCCCGCGAGGACACGGGCCCGCACGGCACGCTGAGGAAGCAGACGCGCGCGGGCGCGCTCGCGGCGCTCGCGACACCGGTGGACGCGCGGCCGACGCCGGCGTCGATCCCGGAGGAGGACGAGCTCGAGCCGACGGACAACGACGACGACGACGACGTGCCGCTGCTCGACGACGACATCGAGGACGACGACGACGAGGACGAGGAGGCGGAGGCCGCGGCCGCGGCGGCGCGCGCGCGGCGGCGCGCGGTGCCGCCGATCGCTTCGGAGGACGACGACGAGCCCGCGCGCGACATCCCGCCCATCGCCGAGGAGGACGACGAGGACGACGACGAGGAGGAGGAGTCGCCGCCCATGGCGGCGCGGCGGCCCAAGCGCGGCGCGGCGGCCGCGGCCGCGGCGCCGCCGCCGCGGTCGAGCCGCCGCGTCGCCGGGGACAAGGAGAACGACGCGCCGCCGAAGCGGGCCAAGAAGGCGGCGCCCGCCGCCGACGACGACGACGAGGAGGACGCCGCGCCGCCGAAGCGGGCCAAGAAGGCGCGGGCCGCGAAGGCCGCCGCCGACGACGACGAGGCGGCGGCGCCGAAGCGGGCGAAGCAGGCGGCGCCGAAGCGCGCGGCGCGCGCGCCCGCGCCGCGGGCGGAGCCGCCGGCGGCGCGGCGGCGCACGGGCGCGGCCGCGGACCGGCGCGGCGAGCCCGCGGCGCGCTGGGGCCACGCGGCGGTCGTGCTCGGCGAGACGCTCGTCGTCCTGGGCGGCGAGACGGAGGGCGACGAGGCGCCGGGCAAGGTCCACGCCTACACGGTGCGCGACGGCTGGACGACGCGGGACACGTGCGGCGAGGACGGCGCGCCGGCCGCGCCGACGCGGCGCGCGTGGCCGCCGGCGACCGCGTCGTCGTCTTCGGCGGCGCCGCCGGCGACGGCGCGGCGCTGGGCGGCGCGGCGCAGGTCTTCGACTTCCGGAGCTCGACGTGGGCCGCGGCGGACCTCGGCGCGCGGCCCGGCCCGCGCTGCGGCCACGGCCTCGTGCGGCTCGCGGAGCACGACGAGCGGTCCGTCGTCGCCGTCGGCGGCCACCGCGGCGGCCGCAAGGCGGCCGACGCGACGGCGCTCGACGCGCTCGGCGCGCCCTTCGGGGCCCGCGCGCTGAAGATGGGCCCGGGCGACTCGCCGCCGCCGGGCCACGCGCACGGCTGCGTCGTGCCCATCCGCGACGGCGCGGCGGCCGTCGTCTTCTCCGGCGCGTCGTCGGCGTCGGGCCGCTCCAACGGCACGGTCCGCGTGCTCCAGTTCTCCGCGGAGCGCGAGTCGTGGTCGTGGTTCGAGCCCTTCGTCGTCGGCGACGCGCTCTCGCGGCGCCGCAAGGCCGCGTGCTGCCTGCTCCCGGACGGCAAGTCGGTCCTCGTCCACGGCGGCCTCGGCGACGACGGCGCGGCCCTCGAGGACGCGCGCGTCCTCGACACGGAGCTCTGGGAGTGGGTCCCCGCGCCGACGGCCGCGCGGCACACCTTCGGCGCGCGCGCGGGCCACACGATCTCGCTCCTCGGCGACACGCTCGTCGCCTTCGGCGGCGTCGGCCGCGACAGCAAGAAGCGGGCGGCCCTCGTCCAGGTGCCCGCGGCGGCCTTCGACGCGCGCGGCGTCGGGCCCGCGCTCGAGGAGTCCATCGGCTACTGAGCGACCCGCGCGCCCCGGGGACCAAGCCCTGCGTATAAGAAGCCAGCGCGGCGCGAGCAATCTCGGACTCGGCAGGGGGGGCCGGGTGCGGCGGCGCCGGGCTTGGGGCTCGAGAATCACTGGAGACTCTCCCTGTGGCGGTGGGGGCTTTGTCGCGTGGTGCGAGGCTGGGGAATCGGTCGCGAAGACGTCTGCGAGTCACGGGAGTTTTGCGCTCGAGCTGTTCGGAGGTTGGCTTAGACCGCGATCGCGGACTGCTGGGCGCAGTTGTCGTTCGTGTAGCCCGTGAAGCACTCGCAGAGGCCAGAGGACGAGTCGCAGAGGCCGCGGCCCGAGCACTGCAGGACGTACTCGTAGTTGCTGGTGCTCGCAGGCTCGAACTTGACGATCATCTGCATGCCGATTGATTGTTCATTCGGCGACTCCCTGAGCGCGTCGTCCGTCCAGTCGTCGTAGGCGGTGGTGGCGTCGTCGTCGGCGGAAGCGGTGGTTATTCCCGAGCGCGGCTGGGTAGCGGAGCCGTCCCACTTGATGACCTTGTCGACGACGAAGTAGAAGCGGTCCTCGACTTCGGCGGTCTTCGACGACGTCGGGTTCGTGCCGATCTTGACGATCTCGTACATGTTGCCGCCGCTCTCCGGGTGCCAGTCGCTGGCTTTGGCTTGCTTGTAGGTGGCGATCTGGTTGTTGAAGAGGAAGACCTTGTCGCCCTTCTCGAGGCACGCGTTGAGGAGGTCTTCCGGACCCCGGACGCGCGGATCGCGCGACGTCGCGCCCGAGTAGCAGGACACGTCCTGGGAGGTGTAGACCGTGTCGGCGCCCTTCTCGAAGTACGCGGTGATGGGGTTGTGCGCGACATCCGACATCTTCGGCCTGTACCAATCGTAGCCCCGGCCTACGGTGGGGACCTCGGTGCCGTTCGCGATGACCGTGGCGATGCCGTCGGTGGCGAAGATGATGTAGTCGCGGTTCTCCTTGCCGAGGTCCGGGAGGCCCGAGATGTAGAATTTCCCGTCCGTCGAGCCCTCGATCACGGTCGTCGTGTTGCCCTGCGTCACGGTCGTCGTGCCCCCGCTCGTCGTTTTGAAGTACATGAGATGGAACTTGCCCGCGTCGAAGACGTCCTCCCCGGGGAACGGGCCCGTCGACGGGTGCGGTGCGAGCTTGACGATGTGCGGGTGGTAGGTGGTGTTGTGCGTGCCGTAGTCCCAGTTGTAGACCTCGACGTTGTTGTCCGGGTCGCCGTCCGCGCAGTGTCGATTCCACACATAGGGCTGGGGCGCCCCATAGGAATTAAGTAACTAACTATCTCGGCCGGCCGGAGTACGTCTAGGGAGCTATCCTGGGCCGCCAGTACGCCTAGGGAAGGGCGAGGTCGTCGAACCTCGGCAAAATTGGTCGCCTATATCAAATCATGTCAACATAAGCTCGTTATATGTCGAAAAAAGGCGATTTGGAGGCGTTTGGGGGGCAAAAAAATCGGGGAAACGTGGTAATTGAACTTCAACATTGCACTTCAAGTGCAAACTTTTTGATTCAACGGATCTCGGGTTATCTCACGAAAATTTTTGGTTTCGACACTGCGTCCGCGTCGCCGAGGCAGCGCTTGATGAGCTTCATCTCCGCCGCGTCCACGTCGTTGACGACGCCAAAGTACGGCTCGTCGAAGGCCGCGTTGCCCAGGCCCGCCTCGCCGACCGTGATCGTGACGCCGTCGCAATAGTTCGGGAAGTAGTCGACGAACTCGCCGGAGATGCCGTGGTAGTTGGGGTAGACGACGATGTCGACGTCGAAGTCCTGCTTGGACGACGAGTTGCTCGAGCTGACGTAGAGGGTGGGGCGCGTGCCGTCGAGGTATGCGTTAATTTCGATGGGCTTGAGGTCGCCCAGGTTCTCCTCGAAGAGCAGGTCGTAGATGACGAAGCCCGTGTTGCCCTTATTCTGGGTGTGCTCCCCGTCGAAACGGACCTCGTCGCCGATGTAGTCGAACGAGTCGAAGCAGCGCACGGAGTAGGCGGGGATGACGCTGTTCGGCAGCTCCTCGAGGGCCGCGACGACCTCGGCGCAGCCCGCGGACGCGCCGAGGGGCGCCGTCTGGTAGTCCTCGCCGAAGACGTCGTAGAACTTGATCGCGTACGTGCCGTCGATGTACTTCTTCGTGTCGAAGGTCACGCCGACGCCGTCCTCGGACTCGGTCGTCGCCGTGGAGTTGTCGAAGGACATGACGACGCGCGCCGTCGGCGCGCGGATCGACATCATCTCGTCGTCGTAGTAGAGCGGGTCCACGCCGTACTTGCACATCTTGGCGCTGCAGGTCGGGCCCGTGAAGCCCGGCTCGCACTTGCAGCCCATGGACACGTCCTTGTCCCAGAGGCGGTAGCGGTTGTCGTGGTCCGCCTTGGCCAGGTCCTTGGCCGACATGCACGTGCCGTGGCCGCTGCACGTCGGGTCGCCGCACGACGCGCGCTGGCAGCCCGCGCCCTCGTAGCCGGGGAAGCACTCGCACTCGCCGCTCTTGCGGTCGCAGAGGCCCTTGTTGCCGCACTCGGCGTACGCGTGCGCGGTGTTGATGAGCTCGCGGCCGAACGTGTCGACCATGAGCGGGTACTGCTCCGTCGTGCCGTACGGGTAGACCGTGTTGCCCTCGATCACGGTCGTCGTGCGCCCGCTCAGGGCGTCCGCCGAACCGTCGAGGTCGCCCTTGGGGGAGTCGACGTGGGCGAGCGCGAAGGGGCACGTGCGCCCGCTGCAGTCGGCCTCCTGCCAGCTCGGGAAGCAGTGGCACTCGTCGAAGGCGCCGCAGGTGCCGTGGCCGCTGCAGGCGTTGGGGCACTCGGCCGCGACCGGGGCGGCCAGCCCGAGGGCGAGAGCGAGGAAAACGCTGTTCATAATCGACTCGAGTGGTGTTAGAACGCACCGACGACGCAATTAGAACGCACCAACAGACACTATAGGCTAAAAATCGCGACATCAAACTGAGATTTCAGTCAGATTTCATTCTGATTTCCTTGATCATATGATACCCATTAAAAACCGGATCGTTGAATTTAGGGTAAAAGTCAGGGCTGCGCGCGCGATGTGCTCGCGCGCCCGCGGTCGCGCGCCCCGCGTAGGGGTCGAGGGCCGCCACCGCCGGCTTCATCATGATTTGGGGTGGGCAAAAAATGCCATCGGCTCGTCCAAACGACCGACATGGGCCTCAGACAGGCCGCTTCGGGCTGCCCATCGTCTCCCAACAGCTCGGCGGTAAAAGTCGTCTGAGCCAATCACAGAGCTGGATTCGACGACTTTTACCTTTACTCAACAAGGGCTTGCGATCAACGATCCGGTTTTTAATAAGTAGATACAGTTGACGAGATAGCCTCGAGATGGTGCTTATGATTCAGGCGGGCGAGGGGACGTCGGTCCGGCCGCGCTGGGACCATCGACGAAGCACAAGATAGATTAGCGCGGCGGGAGCTCGAGGGGCGCCGCGTCGACCATGGCCTCCTCGAGGAGGCGGGCCATGGACGCCTCGGCCTCGCGCTCGCGCTCCGCCTGGAGCTCGTCGTCGTCGATGCGCGGGCTCGACGGCGACGGCGGCGCCGTGGTGGCCGGGCGCTCCTTGTAGATGTAGACGGGCCAGTACTTGGTGACCCAGTGCGCGAGGTCCCAGCTGTGCTCCGTGACGACGTAGCCGTTCTCCGGCTCGGCGTCGTGCGGCGGCATGGCCGTCGGCGGCCGGTCGAGGCCGCCGCCGAACTTGGACGGGTGGCAGCTCAGGGGCACGCGCACGAAGTTGTGGAGCGCCCGCGTCTCGCTCTTCGCGGCGCGGAGCTCGTCGACGAGGAGCGACGCGTCGCGCCGCGCGTCCGCGACGTCGTCGCGCGCCTGGCCCAGGGCCCGCCGGAGCACGTCGAGCTCGACGGCCGGCGGCAGCGCGGCCGCCGCCGCGGGCAGGAGCCGGCGGCGCGGCGGCGGCGGCGCCGCCGCCGCCGCGGCCCCGTCGGGGAAGCCCGGCACGCCCCGGAGGATCTCCGGGTCCACGCCGTCCGGGCAGGGATCGGCCTCGAAGAGCGTGCGCTCCCAGGACCGCGACATCGCCGCGACGCACCGCTCCGCGAGGTCGGCCTCGCCGTGGTCGAGCGCGTGGCCGAGGAGGAAGAGCGCCTCGCCCGGGTCGACGGCGTCGCCGGGCCACCGCGCGCCGATGGCCCGCAGGAAGTCGCCCGGGTCCTCGAGGTCCGACGCGCGCGTCCGGTAGTACGACGCGACGCGGCGGCTAAAGGCCGCGCCCGTGCAGCACCGATCCTCGGAGCAGGCCACGAGGAGGAAGAGGTCCGGCGCGAGCTCCTCGAGGCTCGGCGCGTGCTCCATGTGCGAAGCGCAGACCTTGACCGCCGCCGCGCGGCACCGGTCGAGGCCGAAGCGGTCCGCCTGTGTGGAATTCAACCACTGGTTTGGTGGTCCTGACCAAACTTTGAAATTCTCTAGCTCGATCAAATCGAAGTCGATTCGGCTGATTTTTGGATGGATCGATTGCTCTCGTCGAGTTCTCGAAGTACAGCCGAAGAGCTTGCGGCGAAACTGTCGCATATGCGCACATTGAAGTCGGGTTGAATATTTGAATTCCACACGGCGGTCCGCCGCCGCGACGTACGCCGCGGCCGTCTCGGGCCGCAGGTCGCGCTGCACGAAGGCGACGAGGGCGTCGTAGAGGCTCCGCATGCCGAGGTAGCTCGCGAGGTGCAGGAGCGGCATGGCCGTCGCCGTGGAGACGTCGAGCGCGCCCCGCGGGTCGTACTGGTAGTCGAGCAGGGCTGGGACGCACGCGGCCGCCGCCGCGTCCAACCGCATCTCGCTCGCCGCCGTGCCGTCGGCCCAGCGGGCGAAGAGCTTGGCCCAGTAGGCCCCGGACCGCGGGCCCACGGCCAGCGTCTGCTTGTGGACGTGGTAGGTGCGCGTCTCCTCGCCGCCGCCGTCGGCCTCCCAGGTCACGACGACGTCCCAGTCGCTCAGGGACGTCGCCGGGTCCGTGCGCCAGCTCAACGGCTGGTAGCTGTGGTCCTCGCCGTCCTCGTAGGCGCCGAGGTCGTGGGGCTCCATGGTTTATTTTCGGTTACCCGCGTCGGGCTCCCATCACGACGGGAGTCGAAGGTGCAACATCGATGATGCTGCCGCGGCGTTGGACTAGTTATTATTATTATTGGTGATTTAGCGTCGGAGGAGCCGCATGCCCAAGAGCACACACGGCCTGTAGGCCTCGGACGGAAGAAGTTGAAGTAGGTGGGGCAGCTGCCCCCCAGTTATTGAAGGGGGCGCTCGTCCGGGCGTTGCACGCGACCTTAGACCCCCGCTTAGGAGGAGACGCGCCGGTGGGCGTCGAGGCGCTGGCGGAGGGCGGCGATGCGGTCCTTCTCGGCGCCGCCGGCCGCCGGCGCCGCGGCGCCGGCGCGCGCGGCGGACGCGCAGCGGAGCCGGAGCGCGGCGAGGTCGCGGCCGCCGTCCGGCGACACGGGCGGCGGCGGCGGCGCGCCGCCGTCGCCGCCGCCGAGGAGGCGGACGAGGGCGACGAGGGGCCCGTCGTCGCGGGGCGCGAGGGCCGCGAGCGTCTCCGGCCCGAGCGCGTCGAGCGCGGCGACGACGACGGTCTTGGCCGCGTCGAGGCTCAGTTTGGGCGCGTCCGCGGGCACCGCGTCGAGCACGGCGGACGCCGCGCAGAGGCAGGGCTCGGCCTCGCCGCGGCGCAGCGCCGCGACGAAGGCGTCGTCGTCGCGGAGCGCGACCGTGAGGAGCTTCGCGAGGTGGCCCGCGCCGAGGCGGTCGAGCGCGTCGTCGCGGAACGCGTCGAGGATGGCGGCGACGGCGTCGGCGCGCCGCGCGTGGAGCGCCGCCGCCGCGGCGAGCGCGTCGAGCTGGTGCCGGAGCTTCCGCGGCGCGTCGGGTTCTACGACGTGCGGCAGCGAGTCCTCGAGGCGCGCGGCGCCCCGCACCGCGGCGCCGAGCGCCTCCCGTAGGACGTCGCGCCCGACGGCGTCGGCGGGCGCCGCGCCGAGGACGGCGAGGGACGCGCGGAGCGCGAGGTCCGCGTCGCCGGGCGCGCCGCGCGCGAGCGCGGCCGGCGCGCAGCGGAAGACCGCGCCCGCGACCTCGAGGCCGTCGAGGCCCGCCCAGGCGCCCGCGGCGGCGGACTCGAGGGCCGCGGCCGTCGCCGGGGAGAAGGGCTTGGCCGGGTCCTGGGCCCGGAGCGCGCGCGCGGCCGCGAGGACGCCGACGCGGTCCGCGGGCGCCGCGGGCGGCTTCGGCGGCCGCGGCGCGTAGGCCTCGAAGGCCGTCGCGGAGAAGTCGAAGGCCGCGGGCAGGGGCGCCGCCGGCGGCGCCTCGACGGCCGCGGGCGCGTCGACGACGACCCCGGGCTTCGGCGCGTCGACGTCGGGCTTCGGCGCGGCGACGGCCGCCGCGGGGGCGTCCGCGCGGCCGAACGCGACGTCCAGCGCCGCGTCGACGAG